CTGAACGAATTATAGGAGCCCTCTCATGATTGACATATTATGAAACAGTAAGGGAGAATTGGATTGTTTAATATTGCATGCAATGTACATAGTGGGAAAAAGCAAGAAATATAACATACGTTTAAATTCAACAATGGCGACGAGGATAAAACTTTAAAACAACGACAATTAATCTGGACGAAGAAGTCGGGGGAAACCAAGCGCTCCGATGGCGAACATGGCTGGCAGATTTTAAAATGTTTCTCGCTAGTGCCCGTAATATCATAAACAAAACACGCCAGAGAGCACCATTAGTATACCAGGCAGGATCACGACTAAGGGAAAATTGGAAATATTTAGATAATTCCCGATTCTGGGACAGACGACGATATAGCTAAAGCAGAGGAACTTGTTACGGCCTATTTCGAGCAACAAAAGAATCGTCTATACAAGGTATATAAATTCCGACAAGCAAAAGAAGGCGTGTCCGAAACAATTGATTAATTTCATACAAGATTACATTCGAGATCAAAGAACTGTGAGTTTTCTGACGTTGACTTTGAAATAATGGTACAAATTGTAATCGGGGGAAAGTCTAGCCGTGTACGTAAACAAGCTTTACGCGACCCAAAATATTCCTTAAAAGATTTATTGCTCGACGCGAGGAAACAAGCAAAACACAAGCAGCGGAAATCGAAGGGAATTTAGATGATTAAGCCTTAAATGCGTTTAATACTAAGACATCCTCGGGGAAAAACAGCAGAACATGTTTTAATTGCGGTGGTGAATTTCCTCACAAAGACAGACCATGCAATGAAATGTTTAGCCCTTTGCAACATTGCAATGCCAGATCCAACGTTTTCAATATCTTTTCCATCTGTTTGTCCCATTTGAGGTTTTCATCTAGTAATACGCACAGACATTCGAAAGAGCTAGTTCTACAAAGAGGTTTGTTGTTCAAGAACACAGGATAGTTGTGAACTTTATTAGTTAGATTATATGACGATCATACTATGATCATGTACTTATGTACTTAGTTTTAGTAGGATGGTGCTGCAGTTTGTTACTGGCGAGCCAGTCACTGATTTGTTTTAGGTCAGAATTTAATTTATCAATCAGCTCATTATAATCATTAGGGGAAGAAAATATTTGGGTATCGTCAGCGTATAAACAAGGTGTAGTTTTTTTAGTTTACCCGGTATGTCGTTAATATAAAGTAGAAATAGCAAAGGCCCTAGAATTGAACCCTGAGGGATACCACAAATAATCTTTTTGGGGACGATGTATGTCCATTTATGTACAAACTTGTTCACGATTCGTAAGGTAAGATTTAAACCAGTTTAATTCATTATTGGAGATGCCAAACTGTGTTTCTTATTTGTTAAGCAATATTTTGTGATTTATCGAATCAAAGGCATTGGTTATCTAAGAATACAACTTCGTTCAATTCGCCTATATCCATATTTGCGTACCAATCGTCACTAGTATAACCGGATCTAGTAGAAACGTGATTTATAAGAACACATTCGCAAAACTGCGGAACATTGAGCTTAAACAGACATCCGTCAAAGCATACCCATTCAATTCGGATAAACTGGTCAAGATGGAAGGCAAATTTCGTGCTCAGCTGAATCGAAACATAAATTCACGGTTGCAACCAATCTATGTAACCTCTGAGGACGGGGGTTGTTTATTGAGCTCATAAACAGCGCAGGAACTCGGACTTGCAGTCTACACCTTAATCAAATAAATAAGAACACATCATCCACTAGTTCAGAACAACCATCACAACTCAAACCACATCCAAATGACAAAAAGCTCCAACATATTTTGGATAACCACCCTCCTGTTTTCAGTAGATTGGGTAAACTCAGAAATAAACAGGTTAAACTAGCAATTGATGAAACAGTTACCCCTGTCGCACAGCTTTAGCGAAGGATACCATTAAACGTCAGAAAGTTGGAACATGACATCATTGAGAAAATTCCAGAAACACACCAACAGAATGGGTTTCCCCAGTAGTTATTGTTCCTAAGCAAAACAATAATATTCGATATATACTCTTGAATCACAACCTTTTGCACTCACCTTGCATGGACTCACAAACGATTAAACTACGGCACTAACGCAGCAGCTACACTTTCCAAACACACGTTACAACAGATATTACAGGACATTAAAGGAATAAAGAACATTGCGAATGATATAATTGTATCGGCAACACTCGGGCAGAACATGATCGCGCTCTAGAAGAATGTCTTACCAGATTACAAGAGCATAACCTTACGCTTACAACAGTCAGTGAAGTTAGAATTTTATTAGGAATGGTGAACTACTGTACAGCTCCAAATTTATTAAAGATTATGCAACCATCACCGAGCCCCTACATGAACTAACCGGAAAGAGTACACGTTTTACATGGACACACAAACATCAAGCAGCTTATGATAAACTGAAGCATGCCTACTAAATAGTCCAGTCATGAAACATTTTGACACTTCTAAAGAAACTTCTATTTTAGTTGATGCCAGTCCCGTTGGCTTATGAGCCACACTGGCATACTGACCCAGAAGGATCCACAACAGAATGCATACAATATTATTGCCTACGCAAGTCGCACCCTCTCCCCAGTCAAAAAATGCTACTCGCAGACGGAGAAAGAAGCCCTTGCGATTGTGTGGGGTATCAAGCACTTTCCCCTCTATGTGTTTGGGGCCACCTTCACTCTAATGACAAATCACAAGCCATTAGAGCTAATCTATAACAAGTCTCTGTCTCGACCACACCCACACACCCCCCTACCCCCACACCCCCAGAATTGAAAGAAGGGAGAAAAGAGAAGGGAGGTGCCTTGCATGGGACTTCTATATAGCCTCGTTCACACCTTCCCTTTTGGGCCACTTGATATTGTACTAATTATTTTAAAGGCACCAATAAAGGCACCAATAAATTATGGTACCAATAAAGTTGTTAATAAAACAAAGATGGTTCCTAAGGCTCCAACAATATGACTTTCAGGTGATCTACAAGAAAGGTGGTGAAAACCCAGCGGATTTCCTCTCTCGACATCCATAATCAAAAGTACCAAAACGTAGTATGGCTGAGGAATAAATGAATTTCGTGACAGTCAATGCCGCGCCCAAGCTCTAATACCACTAACAGTTATAAAAGAACACACTTCCAGAGATTCTAGCCTTGTATACCAATCATAGTTTTTTTGTACGTGTACTATAACTATGCAATCAAGAGACACAGTCAGGATCCGACTCTAGTTTACTGATTGGCATGTACATGTTGTGATCAATCAATCACTTTCAACCAGAGGTTTATGCTGATCCACTGATCACTATGATAATTTCTATTATAATATAGCATTTGTAAATTCTGAACGCTGATTGGCTAAGAGCCGTGTTGATATAACTCAATGTCAACACAGAAACGTCAGAAAATTTCTTTCTTTATATTTCTTTGTGCTATAGATAGATTTATTTAACCATGCTAACCTCATCATGAAGGGCATGTGAACAAGAAGTATACTATAAAACATTATATATATGCTATATTATAAAACAAATATAAAACATTTCTTCCGTATTGTTATATAGTTATATCAACACTCGTGGAAATTGGGAAAACTCGAAATTGTGTGAAAACACCCCGCCCTTCAGGCATCGTGTTTCCACACAATTTCTCGTTTTCCCAATTCCCACTTGTGTTGATATAACTGTATATCAACATGGAAAATGTTTTACATGGAACAGGGCAAGACTGCCTAATTCACAAAACACCTGCGTAGTTTAATGTACCAATAATTAATGCCCATATTCTAATTGGCTGATGCAATATCAAAACAATATCAAGCTACTTAAAGTGGAAGTCAAGTCTGTTCTGCGCATCGGTTCTGCTCATAACAATGTGAGGACCCTCTAATGTGAACATAGCCCAAATTTCGAATGTTTCGAATTTTTCTGAACATAAACTCTATTTCATATTCATTTAGAAGCATATCAAACCAAAATGGTGTTAGATATTCAGACAGCTAGTACATCATATTTTAAAAAATACAGCAGTTCAAAATGTAAACAAACCGTTTGTTTACATTACGGACTTGACTTCCACTTTAATATTTATATCGATCATACTGTATACAGTATATCAGTTACCAGAATAATTAGACTCTTTTGTTTGTTAAAATACTGCAGCAAATATCTAAAACATTAACATTTCAGAATCACTTACTGAATTCCTGAATAACTGCTTTTGCCAAAGAAACTATTGAGCCTGAGCCTAGCTTCAAGTTGGTCTAGCTCTATAAACGAGAGAAGTGTTTATTTAACAAATAGGTAAGATTTTGCCGTTGTCTGTTCATATACGCATGATATTTGTAAAATTTCGACTTTTTCAAATTTCCAAATGTTTGTGTGGGATAAAAAGTAAGCTATCAAAATAAACTGCATAGTGTAAGCTGATTTAGGAAACCTTAGGAGCATCAGATTAAAGATTTAATAAAGATAAAGCGAATACCAATTCACAATTTAGTCAATTTAGACTGCTGATAGTTTTAATTTAATAATTTCCGACCCGTTTCAACATTGTTTAATATTTAAAAAAAATACATACTTTCAGAGATTCTTTTAATGTCATACTGCCCCGTACAAATGGGATCTGCCTCGTCCAAATCGAACAATTGACAGATATAGTTGAACACAGACCAAATAAAGGAACTAAGGACAGCTAGAGGCCTTGCGGATTTACTCTTCTTCTTAGGAGCCATGTTGTATTTATATTATAAAATAGATTAATAATAGAATAGAACAAAACCTGAAATTCCGGCAAATTTTCGGGAATCCCCAACCTCGTACCCAGGGTCTTTCCTCTTGGGGTACGAGCACTGAGCTATACTATATTACTGGAGGACCTGCTCGGGAAAAAAAGTGAAGCCAAAAACATGGCGGATCTGACGCCATTGCCATGACTACTGGTCCCTAAATTCATGGCAACTACCACTGTCCCAACCGCGATCCTAAGTTTTCAACAATGTACTTCACCCCCCTGGTTTCAGCACAGATATTTTATGATTTCGCTTGTTTTTGAGGTAAAAATCGCACTGAAAATCTTGATATTTTTCTCCTATAACTTGGTTGATTTACAATGTCGAGGATCCTGCCTTTTTGCGCCGCTCGTAGATGTATGAGATGTACAAGAAGAATCTTTTTATTCACCGGTAAGATTTTTATATATTGTAGAAAATTTGAAGCAGACGTACAAACTACAAAGTTTATAATACTACGAACATAAAAGTATATGAACAGCAAATTATTAGCAGACATAACAACCTGTAAATGGTTGGCAATTCTGTACATTTTATTGTTCTTTTGATTTGGTACTACTACTGCTATAGCGATATTTGCGTAGGGTTTCATGGCTGGTTAATATGATTTCAAAGTCCTTGCTGTAGTGTCTGGCAGTGTGCACACTTGTATTTATTTAGTATTTTAGTAATAATATTAAATTTTCCTTGACAAACTTTGAGTGATATCCTTGCCAGGTTCTTGCCAGCAGTTGTTTATAATTACTGTGTAGTTATATGAAATCTCACTTACATGACATGTAGACAAGTGAACAAATACTTTGCTAGCTAGGCGGCTAGGCCAAAGACATCAGGTTCAAACCATTCAATACCCATTGCAATCAAGCAATTACCATAAACATATAAGCCCCCCCAATATAAGCCCCCCTGTGTATAATCCCATCATATTTACTCAGGCTATTCCGAATATAAGCCCCTCCCCCCTCTAATGTAAGCCAGGCCTGTGTGTACAAGCCCATGGGCTTATATTATTTGACAGGGGCCGGTTGTATCAAGCCCGTTTAGCTTAATTTCTCATGAATCAGTCAACTTATATATTCTGGACTGAATATGTAGTTGTAAACATCATTCTATTAAGGTTCAAAACTTCTAGTTTGGTTGTTGAATGAATCTATAGAGTCTGAGTTGCTTTCTATTTTGAGCTTAACCAACATTTAAGCTAAACAGGCTTGATACAATTGGCTCCAGGTATATTTATTAATGCAGCTTTAGCCATACATATTAGAATACAAGCCCAGGGCTAGCTTGGCTTACATTCAGAGGCCGGTTTACAATATCTCGCCCAACATATAGTTTGTCAGAGTTTGATCTATAAATCCCACAGGTAATATAGGAATGAAAGGTGCACAATATGTGTGCCAGTCACCTTGGCATTGACCGGCCAACCTTATGCTCTGACAATTAACCTGAATTGATTGATGATATGTTTGAGAGCAGTTTCAGGTTTCAGTGGTGGTGTCCCCAGTATTGGAGTAGAGCTCAAATTTCAGTTAGATATATTATTTGTGATTGTTGTGAACCTTCTCACTTAGATCATTTGTGATATATTGTAATTAAATGTAAAATGAAACTTTGGGGAGTTAAGAAATACAATTAATTGACAAGACTGTCCCCTTGACAAGTAAAATTGTCAGGCATTAGACTGCCTGAGTAAAATAATAAGCTTGGGTGCAATTAACTGCTGTATGCTTTAAAGTTGGTTGCATGCTTTAAAGTTGGTTGCAAGCTAGCTGGGCTTATAAATGCCAGAACTCATATGTGAAAAATGCTTGGATCAAGGCGGGGCGGCGGCAATTTATTTCATCCGTAATGAACCCATTTTTAATCCTTTAAGTGGCAATGCGCCCCACTACAATATTTTACTCCGTCCAATGCCAGACAATTTTACTCGTCAAGTTGAGAGTGCTGCCCCTCGATGGGTTCAGTTGCATTGCACCCTACTGTATATGTTCGTGTTACTTTGTCTAACGCCAACAATTTTACTTGTCAACAAGAGAGCACAGTGGTACGTGCTGAATGGGTTAACATATAAATAATGTCTGCTCTACAGTAAATTTCCCTGTAATTGGACTTTGGAGCCTGGTATATGTGACTCACTATTTCTTCAAAGTGTGTTCTAATGATACTAGCTGTCACTATTTTATAAATATAATTGACATTTCTCATTTAGGGTGATCCGGGATGTAAGTCATGTGCCTGGACAAGTTCTTTGGAATGTTCAAATAACAAGAATAGTGGTGTTATAGTAGTGGTGGCACTTGCCAGACCTACCGTAACTGGAAAAACTAACAATGACTTTTCTCCAAAGTCTTATATCAGGCTTTTTTTCAGGGATTTTTTAGGGCCGTTAAACGGCCCCAAAAACTCAATCTTGAATTGAGTTTTGAAACTCAATCTTGAATTGAGTTTTGAAACTCAATCTTCTCACCAAAGTTTCAGTGCAGTGAAAATGAAGTTGTTTGAGTTAAATTTGTGACGTGTGGAAATTAGTTTTCAGTTGGAAACCCGACAATTAAGAAAAATGGCTGGAATTCATCTCACAACACAAGAAAAACTATGCATTCGCCATCGTTAACCAGTTTATAGTGTCCCTCAATGCCCCTGCTTTAACACATTCCATCTCAACTACATTTGTTGAGTACAAGTGTCAGCCCCCCGGTAGGGGGGGGGGGGTGCAACCACCACAGCTGTTCAGCTAAACTCAATCTTCTCTGCAAAAACGTATCCAAGAGAAAATCCTGAAAAAAAACCCTGTTATATGTACTACAAGAAATGGCCCAAGGCATCAAAACAGGGGACAGCCAAAGAATCACCCATGGAGCTACAGTTATAATAATACTCTATCACATATTGTAACTTGATTGTACAGTTACAATTATTAATTTCATTGATAATTATTCTTTGACCAAGTTTAATTAAAATAATACAAAATTAATCATGATTTTGAATCTTTAATTTACAAACATGTTGCAGCTTGGTACTGAGTTTCATTAACAGTTAAACAACAGTGGCATGGACTCATGCATTGTTGGAAAATTCTGCATCTCTATTGTTTTGACACTATTTTCATGACCAATTTTGTTGTTTTGTCTTTGACTTCATTTTGACCAAGTCAGTCAGGTTAGTAACTATCTTGTCTAACATTTAGAGATCTTGTCTTGTTCAAGTGAGATCTCAAACTGAGCCAGGTTATCCATGCAAATTGAAAGGAATTTCCACTATAAAAATATTAAAATAACCACACAGTGAAGTCTCGCTTACTGCAATATGGCAAAACTAGAGACTCACAATTAACTTAATATTTGAAGGATGGGGCAAACAAGCTAATGGCCTTTTAAAGACACATACAACAAACTATCATACAAATGATACAATACAATACAATCAGAGAGCACATTAAAACTACAATGTACAATTCTGGATATAAAACATGCCTCCTCACTTCAGCTGGCCCTACTGGGCAGCTGAGCTTTTTCCTGCACCAGTTCACCACAAGCTCATGCATAACAAAACCCTTGGCTAAATATATAAAACCTTAATTTCCTCTTTAATACACCAGAACATCATAGTTTCATCATACATGTACTGTTGTGCAACTCGATATTGCGAGGGATGAAACATTGCATAAAGTTAATACAGTAAATACAAAAAGGTTTATCTACAACCACATTATAAACACTTGTGGCTTATTTTCTAAAAAATAGAGTACATTTTACCATTTATTCCTAACATTTTTTTATGAAATATTAAAATAAAAATGTGAATTTTAAAATGTTTACCTGTTTATAGTTGACTGCATGTTTATAGACTGCTGTTTATAGCCCGGCTTGAAATATCGTTTTTGTCCACATTTTGGGAGGTTTTAATAGTTGTTTGTTGTCTTTCACGGACGAGAATAACGTGTACGACTTTCACATCCTTGAACAAACGGTCAAACGTCGAAAAAATATGTCGAAAATAACAAAACAACAAGAATTCACTGCAAAAATCCGAAATATTTTTTCAGAAACCAGGGGGGGTGAAAACTGTGGCGGGCTCACAATTGAGCCTTGTTCAGTGGCAATTACCATGAATTTAGGGACCAGTAGTCATGGAAATGGCGTCATTTTCACTCAAAATCCGCCATGTTTTTGGCTTCACTTGGTTGACTGAACGAAGTATAGGAGCAGGTCCTCCAGTTATTATACAGCTCAGTGGGTACGAGGCAATTTCGTTCCCCGAGCATGCCCGTTCGCAGGTTAAGGGTGGGCACGGGCATGCTCGGGGAACGAGATTGGGAACGGGATTGGGTCTGCTATATTACTGGAGGACCTGCTCGGCATGAAAGACATCTGGAGGAAGTGCTCCTATCTCTCTTCAGTCAAGCAAGTGAAGCCAAAAACATGGCGGATTTCCAAGGATTTTCACGTTTGCTGACGCCAGAATGACGCCACTGGTCCCAAATCCTCGTGGTAATTACCACTGGCCAACCGCGATCCTCGGCTTCAGACGACAATTTCACCCCCCTGGTTTTTGAAAAAAGCCTGAAACTTAGTGATGGGCGATACCAGGATTTTTAATTCGATACCGATACCAATACTTTTAAGATCGGTATCGGCCGATACCGATACCTATTTCGATACCAAAATGAATACAAAATTTCAATTTTCGATGCCGGAAGTGAGTACTTAAATTGGTAGTATCGGCTACTTTCGATACTTGCCGGTCAGTGGAAAAACATTTTACATTACTGTTTGTAACCTATTAAATACAGCTATAAGTAAAACCAAAAGCCCGAAACGTAATAAATATTTTCTATACATGACTTGGCGCACCACATTTGAAATATTAACAGTTATTTTAGTGGTTCATTAAGTCTTATTCAACCAAGAAGTGAAATAAAACAAGTCGTTTAAAAAGGGT